TTTCCTCCCTCTCCCAAAATACTAGAACTTGAGGGCATCCAATGAAGGTGATGGGCAGTAGGTTCAGGGTGGACAGAAGGAAAGACTACACAGAGAGTGATTAAAATGTGGAATTCGCTACCAGAGGATGGCCACAGGAGTAAACAGCTTTAAAAGGGGACTAGACAGATTTATCTGTCTATCAATGGCTACTAGCCATGCTGACTGAGGGGAACCTCCACATTCAGAGGCACGAAGCCTCTGAATCCCAGAGCCAGGAGGCAACACCAGGGGAAGGCCTCAGCCTCCATGCCCTGTTGTTGGTCGTTTAGAGGACCTGTTTGGCTCCTGCGTGAGACAGGACTAGATGGACTATTGGTCTGATCAGGAGTCATTTCATAGAAAAAGAGGTGCAGGAGCTCATTAGCATAACTCATTAGCATAACTTATTTGTATATGCCACACCCCCTGGCATCACCGGAAGTGTGTCAGAAGGCAACACCCACTGCTCAATGCCCACTGGGCTCTTTTGGATTGCTAGCTATTGGGGGGGGGGAATGTGCAGATCTGTCCTTGCAGAGGAGGGGGGGCTTCTGCCTGAATAAAACTTGGTCTTAAAGGTGCCACTGGACTGTTTTGGACTGGGGGGCCGGGAGGAGCTCTGCAACTTACCTGGCTGCTTCTTGCTCTGACTGAGGGTTGCTGGGAACACAGGGCGGGGCTTGTTGCATGTGCCCGCCCCCTGGGCTCTTTACTGCCGGAGCTCTGCTCCTGTGCGCTCCTGTAGGAAATGACTCCTGGTGGTACACATGAGATGTCATACGAAGTGAAAGCCACCTTCTCAGAGAGATGGAAAGCACAGCAAAAGATATCACTGAACTGTGTGAGACCAGAGAGACCAGGAACAAGGACTTCCTGTCATGAGGAAATGGCACAGAAACCTGTAACATAGCCCAGGCAAGCCTGATCTCGTCAGATCTTGGAAGCTAAGCAGGGCCGACCCTGGCAAGTATTTGGATGGGAGACTGCCAAAGAATACCAGGTTGGGAGGCAGAGGCAGGCTATCAAGCCACTTCTCTGAACGTCCTCCATGCCCCAGTAGGAGTCGCCAGAGGTCACCATGACTTCCAGACACAGGCACACACACGCACGCATACACGCACACACACAAAATGCAAAACTACAAAAAGAAAAAAGAAAATTATAACATGTGGAGGTGATGTCTTGCCTAGCATCCCAGGGGAACAACCAAAATTAGGAGATGGGTAAGGAAATCTGTTTAGCTACTGTTAGTGGGGGAAGAAGAAGAGATTGGATTTATACCCTGCCCTTCACTACCCAAAGGTGTCTCAGAGCGGCTTACAAACTCCTTTTCCTTCCCCTCCCCACAACTGACACCCTGTGAGGTAGGCGGGGCTAAGAAAGCTCTGACAGAAACTGCTCTTTTTCAAGAACAGCTCTGCCAGAACTATGGCTTGCCCAAGGTCATCCAGCAGGTGCAAGTGGAGGAGTGGGGAATCAAACCCAGTTCTCCCAGATTAGAGTCCGCACACTTAACCACTACACCAAACTGGAAGGTCCCTAGGAATCATGACCATCCTCCTGCCGAGGGCTTAAGAGGAGGCAGTAGGCCAGCAAGTTTGTGTGTCCTTCAGCATCACGTGCACATCCAGGACTGTTCCTCCCCCCACTCCCACCCCTTCTACTGATGCAGGACACCTGAAAGACTTCCTTCAGTGCTACCACTGTGATGTTCATGGACTATTCTGAGTAAATTTATCTCTTTGTTTTTGCAGTGATTCTGTTGCTCATATTACTGGTGACAGAGACCCAATAAAACAAATTTCCAGTATCCAAACAGCCAAATGGGATGGAAACGAAAGCATTCCTGATGTTGCATGAAACTGCTCCCCTGTGATTATAAGTCTCGGCTTATCCTGTCCCCCTTTGTGACCATTTAAGCACTGGACTCAAGTACTCCCACGTCACACACACACACACCCGGAAAAAAAAACTAAACTGCCTGATCAAGAACTTGTTACTGGGATCTTCTGTTCCCTTCCTCCTCGCTGTCCTTGATTCTCAGCTCTCCACTCTCCCATAACTCTTTTGCTATTCCGGAGCAGTTGCACATGTGTGCATACGCACGCATATGTTCTTACAGAAACAAAGTTAATACTAACATCTTATTTATGATGTACATTATCGCAGGTCCTCCAATGTGCTTTTCTCAAGGTTCAAGTGGTACATAAGAGAATACATGCAATAAATAAGCTGGTCGCAGAACACTAAAAAATTTTATGGAGATACCGGCTTGCCTGGAGACAGATAAAGTAGATCATTTTAACATTGCAAACAGGAGGAAAGGATTTAATGTTTTCATTCTGCGAGAAGGAATGAAGTCGTTACATTCAAAAAGTAAACTGGATTACTTGGGGAGCGATTATACATGCACTTTTTACTGGTGGTTGGCTACAGGAATTTCTAACACCGCAGTAGGACTGGCAGTGTTTCCCTAGTCTCAGCTGGGCCTTTAATCCAATCTACAGCCCACTCCTAACAAGATTTACACGAACATTTGCTGGCAATAGGCAGCTACTTCCACACTGGCGCATACAACATATACTTGTGCTACAAGCTCCCTTCTGCCTTAACCCCCTTACTGCTCTCCTATTTCGGATTGTGCAGTTTGATCAAGCGGCCTTCACTGGTGAGCGATCCTGTATCATGCAAGCAAGAGAGTTAAGACTACTAACATCTCTCCTAACTCTAATTTCTATGGTTTGGGACAAAACTACTGGAGCATCTTCTCACCTCTGGGTATACCCAGAATTAAACTTTGTGGGTCTTAAAGGTGCCACTAGACTCAAACTTTGCTCTGCTGCTTCAGACCAACACAATTACCCACCTGAATCTGTCCTCACATCCATGTTCCTGGAACACTTTTTTTCTAAAATGGGGGGGAACCCTACTGAGTCCTGCTTGCAGGGAATGGAACAGGACAGAAATCAAACAAACTAAACTGATGGAAATTGGCATGAAATATTAAACTGAGAAACACCGTGGCACACCCAACAACTAGTGACCCGTAACAACCGCAGTCCATGGACTCCTGATGAAGCAGATCTAGATCTTGAACTGCTGGTGCTGGAAACAGCCCTTCTCCACCCGAGACCATGCACAGTAAGTGCCACACAGAGCAGACAATACTGAGCCTGATGGACCAATGGTCTATCTCAGTATAAGGCAAGCCTCCTAGGTTTGCATAACCACACTGGGTATGGTGGGTTAGCACTGTTAGAGAATGCTTGATATTTTGCTTTATGGATTTATATTTATTGCTACACACAATGGACTGTGCACACACACACATAGGCTCAAAGAACTGTACATTCCAGGTCACCTGTTGTGATGCAACACATAGAAGGTACTTGGCACAAGCATTACATGTAAATAAAGTTTCAACTACACAGTTACCAGCCTGGTGAAGAAGCACACACCTCCATTATTGTGAGCAGTAAGAAAACAACTTGGAGAAGAGACAGTCTCCATTGCAGAAATAGTTGTAGTCACCTACGACACATTACTGCTTTGTTCCTACATTGGTATTTCCTGCCAAATGGACATTTGGTTTACAATGGCATGGCCAGCTTTCATCAACACTTCAATGAAGCATCCTGACGCCAAGGTTTTCACACCTGCCCAGATGCCCTTCTTTGAGTAAGGTATTAGATTTCAATATTGGCCACCCCTCTAGGTAACCTCCCACTCCTATAGGCAACCAATAGGATTAGTTTTGGGACGGACTAACAGGTAGGTGGATCCACAGGTTGGAACAGTTACCTCCCACCTAATGGATCCACTATAAAAGGTAAGGACCATTCACCTGGCCCTTCCTAGCTAGCAACCCCCGCAACGGCCCCTGTCTGCTTTTTACTCCTCTTAAGTCCCACTTGCTATCCCCCAAACCCTTGCCTCTACTTTGATCTCTTGATCTGCAGTCAAGAGACCCACACGTGCTGGCTGGTTCTGGTCGTGTGTGAATTTTCCCTAGATTTCTATTTCTTCCCATCCATTCTTCATTGGAACAACCAAGCTGCAAAGACAGATAAGTATCACCCATCATCACCCCCACCTGCTAATGCAAACATGCTTATTTTAATACTATATTTTTAGGGAACTTGATTGAATGTGTGAGTGCATCAGTCCTGTTTGTATGAGATTTATATTCTTTAAGTAAAAGACATTTATTTTAACAACACCAGCCTCGACTCCTTCTCTGGTAACCCTTGGTGGGAACAGGACCTTTGTATAAACTGGCAACAACCCATTTAAATTGCCAATTGCTGTAAATAAAGCAATTCAGCTAACAGCACAACATGCAACTTAGAAGCTGTATATAGAGTGCTGGCCATGAACTGTGGCCCCACAGATACCTCAAACCGCCACTACCTCTCCAGTTTCTATGACCTCCTTCCAAGGCATTTAATCAAGGACATCACATGTCTAGTATGTTGCACGTAGCCTGAGAGGCCCACACAACAGCAAGCAAGAGGAAATACAAGAAAGTGAGTTCATATGCAAGGAACTAATGAGAGTGTACCCGTATCTATATGTACAATGCATGCTCCTGATACTACAATGCCAGGGGTTGGACTAAATGGTCTTCAAGATACTTCTGAAGTTCTGCAGCCCTAGAGACAAAACTGTTACTCTGGATGTTGCCATGGAACCAAAATGGAATGTGATCAGTCCAGAAAAGAAAAGAAAAATGAAGAGGATGCCTTCTGTATCACTTCCAACTGTGCAGGCTTGCTTACCTCCTACTAATATCTCTTCTTGTTCAGGTCTCCCGCTTGCAGTTTTGCTCAGCTGTGAATCATCTTGAAGTGACTCAGGTTGTTCACATTTATCTTTCAGTTCTTCATCCAGGTATAGGATGCGGTCCTGCAGATGCATGTCGTGCTTCTGTGCACAGACCCTTAAGGGAATGTTTCCCAGTGACCTCGATGATTTCAGTAAAATGGGCAAACGGGATTTCTTGGCTGGATGATTGGAATCACTCTGAATGAGAGACAGTAGAACGTGCATGTAAGTTGCAGCAAAAGGGATTTGTTAGAACATCAGGACACCCCCTTCCCATCCCAACCTTAAGTATGCTCCATGGAAAGAGAGCTCTGTTCTAAAAACCACTGGTTTCTGGTAGAAGGCTTAGTAAATTAGATCTCTACAGATTTTCTAGGAGTAATTCTTACCTCACATTATCCTTCCAAAAACCCTGTGAGTTCATGTAAGGATAAAACAGGAAGGAAGTATATTTCTTCATGCAATGCATCATTAACTTAGGAAATTCATTGCTACGTTGTGTTGTGATAGCCATGAACATAGATGGTTTAAAAAAATGGGTCACACATTCATGGAATATAGTTCTATCAATGGCTTATTAGCCATAATGGTGAAGAATGGAACCTCTGTACGCAGAGGCAATATTATTCTGATTGCCATAAGAATATAAGAATTGCCTTGCTGATTCAGACCAAGGTTGATTTAGCACAGATTCCCACCAATGGGTGGACAGATGTCCTATCCAGGGAGAAAATAATCTGGACTGGCAGCCTCCATCTGGCACAGGGCATCTAGCTAGATGTGTTCACTACTGACTGTTGGACTCTGTAGATCTTTTGTCTGACCCAAGAAGGTAGTTCTTATGATCTTATGAGCTGGGTATGGCAGAGAGAAACTGACTTGCCTGAGGTCACCCTATGAATTATCAGAGCCTCAAACCTAGGTCTTTCATGTTCAAGCCCAACACTACGTAGGACTGGTTTTCAACTGGTGGCTTGGGACCTATAAGCAGGTCATATCTTGACCTTAGATGGGTCACAGCAAGGGCACCACTAAATAGAACTTCCATGTCCAGAGGGACTATATGTCTTCAGGGGAAACATCAGAGGTCACCTTCATGACCTGCTTGTGGTCTTCCAAGAGGCATTTGGTTGTCCACTAGGAGAAATGGAATGCTGGTTTAGATGAATTTTTGAACTGATCTAAAGGGGTTCTTGTTATATTCTTAACAGGACCACAGCGCAGGGAAGGAAGAAAAGAGGTTCAACTCTTCTGCCCTGATGGGTTTTGCTAATCATAACGGTGCTCTAAAGGAATAGGCAATCATCCTGTCTTTGCCCCATCTTTTTTCTTTTCCTTCAAAGGGAAACAACAGAGTGAGGAGGCAGTTTTGATTAGCAAACCCCTATTGTTTTTTGGGGGGAAGCCCCTTCTCTGTCCCCTCCCAACCCCACACTAAACCCCCAGTCCTAATCAGGAACCCACATGGCTGCAATTGACTTGATTTTTTGAAGGGGGGGAAAAAATCTCACTGGGAAGCCCAGTCGCAGATCCCCAGGTTCTTCATCTGTTTGGGTCCTAACTGCTGGGCACAGGAAGTGATTTCAGGCACCACAGTTTTTCTCAAGCCTCTCAACTCCCCTCCTCTACCATGAGGGTTAAAAGCTGTGGTGGGTGGTGTTTTAGCATTATGATTCCATTTAATACCGTTTCACTCTATACCGTTAATGGGGAAAGAAAAGACAGCCTAGTGAACAGTATCTCCAGGGACCCCACGGGGCAATCTAACCCACAAGAGCAGCTCTCCCCTTGTTTCAGTGAAATGCTGTCAACTGCCTGCACTCTCAGCAGCAGCTTGTGAGGCCATTTGGCTGGCAGACTACCACGTTTCACCAGTAAACACCACTGCACAGAGAAAGAGGACCCCATGGTCTTATCAGAGAATACAGCAACACGGGGGCAGTGGGAAGCTCACAGTGCTTCGTTTTGACACCAGTTGCAGCGATCCACAACATGCATAAAGCCAGCAAGGACAACCTGCTACCTAGAGACAGCCCCCCCCCCCGCACTTCCAGTACAATGGGATCAGAGGGCAGACGCTGCGTGTTAAATTCAAAGGCCTTTCCATCGGCCTCCCACGGAGCGGTCCTGATGTCAGCTCATTGGGTAGCCAGCAAAGGACACGGAACCCATGAACAGCACTCCACAGCAGTGCAAAGGCTCGCTGCTGCATGCACAATTATCTGCAATACCTCTGACCTCCATTCTCTTCAGCTAATTTTTCAAAACGACACAGCCCTATTAGAAATTAACTGCACTTTCATCTTCCAAGTAGTGGCTCGACCATCTTCAATAAACTTACTTTATTTGTTCTGCTCATGAGGGGGAGGTTCTCCCGTCGGTTGCTTGTCAGATCTGCTGTTTCTTGCCACTGTTCTCGCTTTTGGTTTAATGGTGGAGACTTGCCTTTGTCTTCAGAGCTTGTGGCATCGCCTTCATGTTTCAGTCCCGTGCCTTTCCCCTCAACAGCCATCGTCTGTGTAGCCGAGTCTTTCACTTCTGCTTTTGACAATTCAATATTTGCATTAATCCCTAGCTCTGGAGTGAGATCAAGCGGTACTTTCTCTGCCAAAGTTGATTTCAATTCCACATGCTGCTTTAGGAATTTATTTACTTCAGTGCAGTGTTGGAGTTCAGCCCTCAGTTGAATAATCAGTTGCTTAAGATCTTTCTCGTCTTTATTCTCCAGATCCTCACTCAGCCTGTCTTGCTCAGTTGTGCTCAGATGATCTAAGCGCTTATTTGCAGATTTCATTTGTTCTTGTCTGCTTTTACCCATTGGGTGGAAATAAAAGGGAAATATCCATAAGACAACACGATTACTTTCTACCTGAAATATCTTTGTAGAGTCAACGTCAAGTATAAACTCTTAATGCATTCTTTTTATTTTCATAATTCCAAACACTATTGTACAAAACAACACCAGACATAGGGAAGTCACAGAAAACCAAACTGGTGTGTCAAAGAAAGACAGCCATAGCACCGCTGCTCCTTAGAAGGAGGAAAGGAGAGGAGGGAGGCCGCTTTGGAGCAGGATCATAAGTTTCACAGCGAACCTAAATTACACTTCTAAGATACCAAAAACGACGGTCAGGTACTACCTTTTTATTTATTTCCTTTTATCAAGAACATTGACGGTCAAAGAAGATAGGGACGGCAAAGGATGAGATGGTTAGACAGTGTCATAGATGCAATAAACATAAAATTGAGCCAACTTCAGAGGACGGCGGAAGACAGGAAGGCCTGGCGTGATCTGGTCCATGGGGTCGCAAAGAGTCGGACTCGACTGTGCGACTGAACAACAACAACAAATCAAGAACAAGCAAAATATCACAAAATGGCAAGATTTTGAGTTCCATCACACTGGATATTCAGAATAACACTAAAAAAGGTGGAAATTCATGTGTGGGGGGAAAGATGTGTCAAGGCATCAGGGAGATGCACCTAGTTCCCCCCCTCCTCCCACTTTGTTTTTTCACTTTGGACATCCCGTCAGGTGAAAAATTCTGGGGAAGTCAGCAACTTGCTACTTCGTGATGTTTTGGTCATCCTATTGAAAAAGTATTCCATGCCTGAATATCTTTACGGACCCACACAGCTACTTACAACGTAGTTCTTAGATACCAGCATTAGATTTCCAAGGCCCAACCCTTACAGTGCACTCACTCTCCAGCTTCTGCAATCCACATGGCACTTCCACTTACCAGATGCCGATCCTCTACATCGGCAGTGCAGCCCGAGCATCAGAAAGCAATACACTGATGCAAGAAACATCATAACACACAGTACTGTTGTTTTAACGGGGCTTCTCTCCCTGTTAAAAGGGTCAGACTGTAGGTGATGTGAAAGACCTCTGCCTGAGACCCTGGAGAGCAGCTGCCAGTCTGAGTAGACAATACTGACTCTGATAGACCAACGGTCAGACTTAGTACAAGGCAGCTTCGTGTGTTTCCACTTAGCAATACAGTACCGAAGCAGAAACAAAAGGAGAAATCCTTTGGCAAAATACACGATGGGCTTTGAACCAGGAAGAAAAGGCCCAGAGCTGCTTCCATTCCTAGCCTACTCAGTGTAAGGTGGGCAGCTCTCTCCCTCTCTCCTCTCTGCATGTTGACTGACAGTGTTAGGGGCCAATGGAGCACAATTATTCTGCTGACAAAGGATAGTACACGTCGCTGGGGACAAGGTTAACATTCTCCCCACAATTTTCACACACACTCTATCCCATGAAGCTCACTGGGTGACTTTGCGTCAGGCATACTCTCGCAGCAGAACATAGGGTTGGTGACAGAATAGAAAAGGGAGGTACACCATCCTAACATCCTTGGAGTCAGGGAGGGATAAAAATATATTTTTAAAAAATCCAAACATACTCATGTATCTTCTGTTTTCAGAAGAACCTGTTATACTGCTCAAGGCATTGACTCGTACAGCTTTTAATAGACAAAGGAAAGGAAGGAAAGGAAAGAAGAGCCGAAGAGCAGAGCCTTCTCGGCAGCTGCCCCAAGCCTGTGGAATGCTGTTCCCCAAAAAGGGTATTCTATCCCACCCTTCGCCTCTTTTAAGAAGCAGATGAAGATATATCTCTTTTGCTAGGCCTTTGGATAAGCCCTCTGATTTTATTCAAAATCCCTGTTTGGTAGGAACATCAGCCCTTACGTTTATTTATGCTACTGCTATTTATTAATGGATTGTACTATGCTTTATTCTATGGATATTATGTATGTGTTTAAGCCTCCCTGAACAGGCAAAACTGCCTTTTATGACTGTACATCAATCAGGATGTAACTCGGGAGCATCCAACAGAGCACAACAGCCAACTTTGTAAACTTCCAGTCAGGCCTTTGCATACAGCTAATGGCTCACAGACCACAGCTTGGAAAACAGTTTTACAACCTGACAGAAACTAAATAAGGGACGTTACACTCCAAACAAATCCCGTCATTAATTTCATGTGTGTCAATAAAGAAACGTTTCATGCCATTTAAAATACAATCTGGTACTGAAAACAGAAGCATTTAGAAGGCTGGCATTTGAGAGAGAGAATGCTAAGTGTGCTTTTA